AAAAAAAAGAAAAACAGGAAACTCTATTATGATTCCTTTTAATATTAAAAAGATAAAGGAATAGTATTGTCAATTTTCTACCAATGAATTTAACACAGTAGATATAATTGAAAAATTCCTTGGAAATACACGAATGAGGCAAAGAAGTTCACCCTTACCACTTCCACTCAGCATTTTATTGCCAGTTCGATATGAGAAAGCAAGAAATTGAGATAAAAGCTCAAATACTGGAAGTATAAATAAAACAAATCCCTCATCTAATACTTTCTAAATAGTAGTAACTCTGTTTTAAATCCATTAAGGAAATGCAAAGAAAAATCATACACTTGGTGTGAATATTCATAACACATATATATCATTTGTATCCTGAATATAGAAAAACATATACAAGTCAATAATTAGAAAAAAACAGCATTATAATTAGCAAAAAATAATGAATAGATACTTCTGAAAGAAGATCTGTGAATAATCAATAGGCACATATAGGGTTGGCAGGAAGGCATGGTGGTTAGGGGCACTGGATCCCATAGAGCTGACTGTGGTTTGAGTCCCAAACCGGGCAGCTTGCTTTCTCGCTTTCCCTTTCTTTCTCTCTCTCTCTCTGTCTCTGTCTGGTCAAATTAAAAAAGTAATAATGACAAATGGAATTAAATAAATAATCTTTTAAATAAATGTTCACCATCAGAGAAATAATAATGAAAACCCCCATGGCATAATATTTTACCCATTGCAAAAACCTGATTAACTGATGAAGTATAGGCAAATATAGTGGGACCGTAAAGTAGTGCAGTCATTTGGAAAGCAGTCAAGTTTTCTAAATAAATCAGTACACATGCCCTGAATATTTAAATAAATAAGCTCCTAGATACTCACTCAAAGAAAATCATAGCATATATCCATACACATGGACATACACAAATATTGAACTCAGCTTACAAGCAAAAGCTGGTAAGACCCTAGATGACCTTTGGTGAGTGAATGTATAAACAGTGTGATGTATTCATATGTGGAATACTGATTAGCTTTATAAAGGTATCTTACCAACAACATGAATGAATCTTAAAAAAACAAAATGAACAGGGGACCAGCAGGTGGCGTGGTGGTTAAGGCGCTAGACACTCCCACATGGCCAACCATGGTACAAATCTCAGACCTGGTGGCTTAATTTCTTGCCTTCTCTCTCTCTCTTTCTCTCTCTCTCTTTCTCTCATCAAATTTTTAAAAAAATAATAAATGAATCAAATGAAATAAAGTAATTCTTTTTTTTTTTTTTTTGGAGAGGTTTTTGCTATAGGGCATGTGTGCTTGCCAGAAAAACAAAGAGACAGAGAGACAGAAAGCAAGAAGTTACCCCCCGGGGGTGGAGGGATGGCCACGCCGCAATCCCTTCTCCTCCATTCTCCTCTCAGGATCATGGGCACGCACGCACACACACCCAGCGTGAGTTTAAGCCACCAGGTCCGGAACTTGAACCGCAATCAGCTACATGGGAGTCCAGCGACATAACCATTATGCCAACTGCTGGTCCCAGAAATAAAGTAATTCTTTAAAAAACAAACAAACAAAATTCCAAACAACCCATTGTGCTGAACATAAGAAGCCAGGCACAGAAGAGGAATACTGTATAACTCCATTCATACCAAATTCTGGAACTGGTGAGCTATTGTGACAGCAAACCAGTGTGTCTGCTTGGGATTGTGAGCAGGGGAGGAGAATCTAAGCACTTAGTGAGAGATGGGAATGACCTGTATGTTATGATTACAGAGGTGAAAACATTTGTTAAAATGTTTCAAACTATAACTTAAGATGAGTATGTTTTAGTGCACTGTGCAATTCTGGTGACCAGATGTGACTCATAGCAATAACTCCATGTATCCTTTTCCAAAAAAGACAAGGAAAGCCAGGTCTCTGACTCTAGACTTAAAAGGATTTCTACCAGTTTCCATCAAACTAACTCACCAGGCAGAAATTCCAGAAATTAGGGGCCAGCAGTTGGCATAATGGCTTTGTGGCTGGACTCCCATATATTCAACTGCAGTTCGAGTCCCAGACCCTGTGGCTTAAAACTCATGCTGGGCGCATGTGCGTGCATGCCCAAGATCCTGAGAAGAGAATGGAGGAGAAGGGATTGAGGCGTGGCCATACACCCTAGGGGGGAATTTCTCACTTTCTGTTTCTCTGTCTCTGTCTTCCTGGCAAGCTTATGCGCCCTATAGCAAAAACCTCTCCAAAAAAAAAAAAAAGAAAAAGAAAAGAAACTTATCCATAAATATTTTACAATTCTTAATACATATTGTCAAATCTCTTTTCAGACTAATCAATCTATCAAATACTGTTTTTATCTTGTTGTAGTGTTTAGAATGAACATTATACATTTCCAGTCTTTGGTAAAATGATTTTGACATGCTACTGTTTTAAAATATATGTCTTGACTATTAAGATGGTTTGTCTCTATTGGCTAGTGGCATTTCTTTGGTAAATGATCTTTTCATGGCTGCTAACTTTATTTCTGTTGAAAACTTACTGTTTTTATTTTCGTAGAAATGCTTACGACAGTATCTTAAGTTTTATTTGTGTAGTGTTTTTTGCTATAAAGTTTTGTTTAAAATGTTCTTCAGTAGGACCAGCAAATGGCTTAATAGTTACATTGTTGTAATCCCACATAGTCAACTGTGGTTCAAATCCTGGACCTGGCAGCTTAAAACTCACGCCAGGTGTGTGTGCCCAAAATCCTAAGAGAAGAATGGAAGAGAAGGGATTGTGGCATGGCCTCCACCCCCAAGGAAATGTTTTTCATTTTCTGTCTCTCTGGTGAACTCACATGACCTCCATAGCAAAAATTCCTCTAAAAGAAATAAATAAATGTTCATTATCAATATGAGTAAATCTGTTTATATGCAGTCTGTTTTATTGATCCTTCTCTTTGTGAAAACACTTCTGGCTCTTTTCTGTAGAGTTGGCTCAAGTGTGATTGTCTATACTTTGTGGCTGTTATATTGCAATTTTAAGAGAGGATTATTTTTATTAGTCCTGAGACTGGGTTTCCAGGTCTTATTGAACTGCCTGGATTCATTATAGCAAATAAGAATGTTCCTTTATTGTCTTTGAAGAACTCTTTGACATTTATGCTAGTGGAACAATTAGAATAACTCATTTCTCTGTAATTGGAGTGTATCAGAATAACTTTTCAGCTTTTCAGTGTGTAAATTAACGTTTCCTTGGGATTCTTACCCCCAAAATGTGAAGCGGTTGTTTGAAAACACTTGAAATCACACAGTTGGCGAGTATTTGTGTTGAGAATACCGTCTGATGGTTTATTCAGTGTGTGCGGAGTTTAGAGAAGCATCAAAGAGAAGTTGCTGAGCTGTTGCCATTAAATGTCAGAGACCTACCGCATGCAGGAGAGATTTTCAGATTTACTCTCTGACACGTTGACTCAGGAGTTAACTCGTCATAACTTGCCATGCCCCTTACCAGTTCACAAGGACACAGCTGAACCTGTCATCACGGGGTTTCATCGACGGACCAGAAAGAGAACGGGAAGTCTGAAATGTTTCTAGTTAATGGCAGAATTGGACTGGCATTGTAGGAGTGCCAGTGCATTTTGCATTCTTTTCCCTCCTTTCTGAAATCCTCATCGAGGTTGTTTATAAGCAAACACCTTATATCATATTTAGAAGTTAATTCTCAGGTTAAAAAAAATCTGCAAAAATAAAAGTCAGGAGGAAAGAGTTTTGTTTTTTGTTTTTCCTTTACCTAACCTCTTGAATTCAGCAAGACATCATTTCGATGAATTACACGACTGTGTGTTATTTGTCAGGGAAAAGACCTGAGCTCTATAATTTCACTTAGACAAATATACCAAGTAATAGGACACTTTTGAGCAAAAGATGATGTGAGAGAGATGAAAAAAAGGGTGAAGGATGCCAGGAATATTAGAGCAAGTGTCCTAAGTCTTCAAAAAGACAATGACAAAGCCTGGAGGTTCGGGTGCTGTGGTGAATAAAAATGATACAGATATCAAAAACAAGAGATGAGGCATACCAGCATGGCTGCCAGTAGAAAGTACTAGGGACAGCAGTTTCAGATGTTTCAACAGCTCTGTGCTCTTACAGGTAGATCTTATTCATGAAGAGAACGTTGTAGCCTGTAGGTGAAAGTTGTAAGTTACAGGTTCGCATACGGGAAGTTGACCCACTGACCTGGATAGCATGCCCCTGGGGAATCCAGGCAGTTTTTGTGTGCACTGAGGCTAACAACTTTCTCATTGGGGAAGAGATCCAATGATTAGAAAGATAAGAGAGAAATGCAGAAAAACAATGGTGCTACAAAGTTAAATTGGATGATTTTATTTTTCTCTTTTTAATAAATGATATCATCACAGTTCTAAAATCTTGGAAAGTGCAGTCAGAAATGTTCAATAGGAGTCACTGGTGACACTTGCCATGAAGGTATTAGTGAAAAGAGGTGAGACCACAGAGAGTCTTGCTCTGTTTGGAGAGATGTGATGACACCAGGAAGAAGGATTGAGTGGATATTGAGTGGATGTTAGTGGTGCATAGATGCTGGTAAAAGGGTTTTCTTCTGATGGGTGAGGAAGGATCGCATTGATATGAATATAGAGGCAGTCTTTCTTGAAGTAAGATTTTTTTTTTTTTATTAAAGAGCAGCATTGGGGACCAGCAGATGGTGTAATGACTGTGTTGCTGAACTCCCACATAGTCAACCACAGTTCGAGTCCCAGACCCAGTGGCTTAGACTCATGTCAGGCACATGTGCGTGCGTGCCCAAGATCCTGAGAGGAAAATGGAGGAGAAGGGTTTGCAGTGTGGCCATCCTCCCGGGGGTTGGGGTGGGGGGAGGTGATTTCTTGTTTTCTGTCTCTCTGTCTCTCTGTCTTTCTTTCTGGCAAATGCACTCGCTCAGTACCAAAAATCTTTCCAAAAAAAAAAACAAAAAAGAGCAAAATTATAATTTGAAATGCTTTTTAAACTTTCCAGAACATTATACATCCATGGGCATACCAAGTTGGATTTCACAGTCTGGCATACTGCGATTGAAAAGGCAGCAGGTACAGATGGTAATGCATTACAAGATCAGCAGCTCAGCAAAAACGATGTCCCCATTGTGGTGCACAGCTGCATCGCCTTCGTCACGCAGTATGGTAAGTGGCAGAGGTTTTATTCAGCCCCTAGAATGCATCGTATCATTCTGACAGTTTTTAAGTGGTACCTCTGTTGGACTAAATTAGAGCCCTTTAGAAGTACACCCATGAAGAATAAAAGCACAGTCCCTGTTCAGCTCATGGCCTGACTTCTAATAAAACTCATTGGAACTATATAATATGCTTTCACCATTTCCCTCTTCCTTGATGTGCATAAAGATGTTCAATAACATTGTAACTATAGGTATTATGCGTATTAAATATACTAGATACAAGACTATTTTTTCTGAGGTTACAAGGGTGGAATAAAACCAAGAGCGGTGCAGTATGCTTAAGCATGGGTTTAGAAGAGGTAGCCTATGGAAAATGTATACAAAATTTGCTTTCAGTTGATTTGCATACAAAGTGTATAGGTACATATTTATTTCACTTAGTACTAGTAGTCATGTGCTTATATTCAGAAGCATGGTTTTATTAATGTTTATTATAGTTTTGGATTATTTACAACAGATGTTTTTATGGAGAGTTTACAAATAAAAACAAGTTGATCTATACCTACTATACCGTCTAGCTTCATTTTAATCTGATAAGCCATGACTGTATTTTAGATATTTCTAAAAAGTAACCTTTACTCCTCTTATTTTTGTATTATTCTGAGCCTTTCAAATTCCTCCTTTGTTACATACATTCTCTATACTTTGAAATATAAAATTATGTTTTTAAATTTATTTTATTTTTTCCTTTAAGAATTATTTTATTTAACTTTATCCATTTATTCATTTATTTTAATTTGACCAGAGAGACAGTGAGAGAGAGAAGGACTCGAACCGTGGTCGGCCATGTGGGAACGTGCAGTGCCCCAACCCTCATGATACCTGCCGGTCCCTGAAATATAAAAATTTTTAGCTTTTTAAAAGAATTTTTAAGTGCTGGAGGGTAAGGGCATGTGCCAAAGAGAGGGAAAGAAGACAGCACTTAATATACAGAGTCTTCACACCTTTCTCTCCTGTCTCTACCTCCTTTTGGGATTTTGGGCATGCATACACATACGGGAGATGTTTTTTCAAGCCTCCATGTCCAGGACTTGAACTGCACAGTCAGCGTGTGGGATCTGGCTTCCCTTAACCACCAGGCCATGGAACTTGCCCACTAACATGTAATGTTTGTTTGTTTGTTGTTTTATTAGAGATTTTTGCTACAGGACACATGCACTTGACAGAGAGACAGAAAAACAGAAAGTGAGAAATCACCCCCCAGGGGACATGGTCACTCTGCAATCATTTCTTCTCCATTCTCCTCTTGGGATTTTGGGCATGCATGCCCATGCACCTGGCATGCGTTTTAAGCCACTGAGTAGAGAACCAGAACTGCAGTTGACTACGTGGGAGTCCAGCAACACAACTATGACACCATCTGCTGGTCCCTAACTGTATTTTTAATATAAGAATGTTTTCTACGCTTAACCTGTAGGTATATGCCATTTATTTAAATTACAAAGTGGGGAAAAAGAATAGCTGACCTTGTATTTTGGAAGGTGTATTCACTTTTTAAATTTTTCTCATATTGGGATTATCTTTGGGTGTTTTGAATAGAAGTGTATTAGTGAGAAGGCTGCAAAAAAACATTGTAAATTTATTATTTATTTATTGAGTGTCAGTTGTATGCCAGCCCCCCAATTTCAAAATACAGCAGTAGGAATGAAAAGTTAGAGACAAAGCCATGGATTGTAGTTCTGGGGCGAAAAACTGACATTGCATTGATATATAGCACAGCGTCAGAAATAAATAATGCTGGAGAAAATAACTTCTGGGGTTTAAATTTGTAATATGTGCATTTTAACTTCTTTTAGGCAGAGCGCCATTTTAAGTATTTTGCTTATTTCCCGTGGAAGCCAAGTGTGGTTTTATTTATGTCCAGATTCATTGTGTTTATTCTATACACCTGCTGAATCACATATGTGAGCATTACAGTAGGAAGTTTCTTTCTCTAATAACGCGTTTATATTTTCTTATTAGTGTAATCATTTGTCTATTTGACATGGGCAAAGGAGAGGTTGTCATCGTTATTTGTTATTTTCATTCAGTGCTGTGCTTGCGTTTTGCAGGTATAAATGATTTGCACACACATTATGTTTTAGCGAGAGCATAACCTCATTGGGAATTTTCACATCATGTTAGTTTCATAATGGCATAAGGTCTTTCTTAAGCTGACAAATGACTGAAATAACTTGACTTGCTTCAGTGTAGCCAATTGAATGTTTCTCTAGGGAAATCAGAAGTTTCCTGGTGGCGTTTATTTGAATTTAAAATCATTAAGTATTCTATTGTCTTCAGCTAAGTCTTGTACATTATATCTACTTTATAACACTTAACACAAGGCGATTAGCTTACACGTTAAAATAATAAAGTCAGTGGAAGATTGTCTTTTCTTTTTTTTGTGGGGAATGGTTTTGTTTTGATTAGCAGAACATGGGAAAAAAGCCTCAGTGTTACCAGCTATATAGAGGGAAAGATTCTATATGAACTCAGAAAATGCCCGGTGATTACCGAATGCAAATGGTTGAGTCAGGCTGTTATATTAACAATTTATTTCCTAACCTGTGGGTTATAATCTAAAGACTGATTTTTTTGTGCTAATCATGTCAAGGTTTGAACTTTGAGCTCATGATATAGTTTTGGAGGTTATTTTATTTTTTAAATGATTTACAGTACTTAATTCTTGGGGGAAATTATCTTAATTTGTGTAAACAAAATTACATCCAAGTCCTATTCTAATCAGTTAAGCAAAGTTAAGTACTAACTCTTAGAAATGCACTGTGAGGAATGTAGGTTTTCAGAAACTTAGTCACACTAGTTTCTTGTAGAATTTATTTATTCTTCCATTAAATGGTCACTTATTGAATACCTGTTGTGGTATTCTAGGTATTGTGTCTACTCTGAAAATAAGTAATACTTGTTTCCTAGAGTTCATAGAATTGTGGATAAGAAACATATCATGATGGGACCAGCAGTTAATGTAATGGCTATGTCGCTGGACTCCCATGTAGTCGACCGCAGTTTGAGTCCCAGATCTGGTGGCTTAAAACTCATGCCATGTTATGAAGGAGAGGCATTGTATGTCCCCACTTAATATATACCGAGTGTCTGCACTCTAAAATATATATATATATATATTTGAAACCATACTGCTTCTGTTGTTATAGAGTCATAAAATTATACAAAATTATAAGACATATTTGAACATTATCTTTAAAATTCAGTATTTTGAAATTTTGAAAGTTGTAAACTGTCAAGAATTATGGATTATGAGCTAAATTTTTTTGCTATGTAAAATAAATGTTTGTGGAAAAATGTAAAAATAAATAAATGAAAGAAAAACAAACATTAAAAAAAAAAAAAGTCATGCCAGACGTGTGTGCGTGTGTGCCCAAAATCCCGAGGAGAGAATGGAAGAGAAGGGATTGTGGCATGGTCATCCCCCCTGGGGGGTGATTTCTCACTTTCTGTCTCTCTGTCTCTCTCTGTCTGGTGAGCACATGCGCCCTATAGCAATAAAACATCTCCCCCCAAAAAAGAAACACATCGTGAGCAGACAGTGAGAGCTCAGTGTACACAGTCGTAGGGTAGAGAAGTGCAGGGACTGCTCCAGCTGTCCAGTGTGTAGGGATGAATTTCACCCAGAAGAGTTGTGAAGGGGCTTCCTGGTGAGTGAAATGCCAGCCATGAGCCTTAAGAGAACCTAAGAGCTAATGAGGAGAGGGAAGGTCAGGATAGGGAGTCCAAGACGAGAAACAATGAGTGGCACGGGGCAGTGTCACGAGAGAAGATTATCTGTTCAGGCAACTTGGTGTGGTCACATGGTACAGCGATTAGCGGGAGGAGGGGGAGGATGTAAGAGGCAGGAGGTTAGGCCAATTCAGGTATGATTTTATGGATCAAATAAAGTCCCCAAACTTTGCTGTGCAGACCGTGGGATGGCAGCATGCAGATTAGTGAGCTCATTGGTAGCTCCAGCAGACCTGTGTACAGGTGACGCTGTCTCCATCGTTGGGGTGGACTGCAGGGTTGCATGAGGACAGAGGCAGGAAGTTGTGAAAACAGTGCGAAGCCAGGTGCACAGAATAGTAGCATCTGGTATGTAAAGGGGATAATTTCAAGAATAAGGTCATGATAAATAATCTATGTGAAAGTCAATTAAAAAAAAAAGATGAATGATGAAGTCCTGACGTGTGAGGGGGTGAGGCGAAGGTCATGCTATCTATGGAGACAGAGGAATGTGAAGAGCTTACTGGGGTTAGAAGGCGAGGAAGTAGATGGGGTGGGAGAACTAATTTCCCCAGATTATTTCAATTCGCCCATAAAGATGTGTGTGCCTATGTGTACATTGCACGCATATGTTCATGTGCGTGTGTGCATGTATGAAGTCTTAGAAATTAAAACCTGGGTGAAAACGTTTATGGAGTAGCTGAAGCATTGAGGTTGAAGGACTCACCTAGGTAATTGTTTAGGTGGGGAGAAGAGACGTGAGGATAGATCCCTGGAATAACCAGTAAAGAGTCATTGGGCAGAATGAATGGAATATTGGAAGAAATAGCCACAGAGGAAAAGGGAGGAAAAGGAGCTATCAAGGCATGATGTGATAAAAATGATGAGATATAAAGAGTCCTAGTAGGGGTTCATTTGGAATTTTAAATGCTACGAGGAGTTCTCATTGGGGAAAAAATGGAAAAAGAATTAGAAAAATAAGATATCATTGATGTTTTTGGAGAATGTTCTCTCAGCAGAGTGGGTATTGGGTAGAGGAACAAGATTGTATGGTTAAAGGATTAACAGGCATGTGAAACTATAAAAAAGAATAAATAGGACCAGGTGGTTAAAGTGGCTGGAACCCACATAGCCAAGTACATGGTTCAAGTCCCTGACTCAATGGCTTGAAAACCACACAAAGCACATGTGTGTGCCCCAAGGCCCGAGAGAAGCATGGAGAAGTGATTGTTGCATGACTATACCCATGCAGGATACTCACTCTCTCTCTCTCTTTTCTCTCTCTCTCTCTCTGCCTCTTTCCCCACTCCCTCACTGTCTGGCAACCTATACCAAATTACAAAACAAAAACAATACCTGTGAACAAAGAGAGACTAAATATAGGCGATTCAGCTTGTGGCTGATTCCTTCTTCTTAAAAAGAAGAGGGGTAAGAAACCTGGGATGGATATGGGGGATTTATGTATGTGTATCATCATTGTCTTCCTCCTCTTTACCTCCTCATTACCACTACTCTTTCTTTTGTTTTATAAGAGGCACTTGAAAAAGAGGTGGCCCAACCTTTTTGAGAGAAGAGGTCAAAAAAAAAAAAAAAATGAGAACAGAAATTAATACAGACATGTGGGAGCAGGAGGTTGAGAACATTCACACCACTGAATTCCGTTTTAGTCAGTGAAGCATGAAGGCAATGTTGTCTTTTTAAAAATTATTTATTTATTTATTTAAGTTTGCTATGGGGCATACATGCTCACACAAGAGAGAGAGAGAAAGCAAGCTATCAGGTCCAAGACTTGAACCAGGGTTGGCCATATGGGAGTCCAGGGCCTTAACCACCATGCCACTTGTTGGCCCCAACAAGGTTGTATTCTGAGAGACTAAGTAAAGATGGGGCACTTGAGGTAGAAGAGCATTAGAAGATCCATAGAGAACTGGAGGAAGACTGATCAGGTCATACTAAAGCTAAAGATGGGATTTATTTATTAGGTTTACAGTTTAAATATTAAAATTAGGAGTGGCACCTCCCTCCGTCAGATACATTTCTATCAATTCTCACTTAATGATGTCTTCTTCTTGCTCATCCCAACCCAAACAAGCATTTGTTCCCTTTTTTTAAGATATAATGGTAGATTTTGAATGTAAGATGTTTCGTATGTAACTTTTTTTCTCCCCCAAACAAAGGTTTAGGATGCAAATATATCTACCAGAAAAATGGTGATCCTCTGCACATAAGTGAACTCTTGGAGAGCTTCAAAAAGGATGCTCGAAGCTTTAAGTTGAGGGCCGGAAAGCACCAGCTCGAAGATGTGACGGGTGTGTTGAAAAGGTTTCTCTTGGACATTGATGATGCACTTCTTACCAAGCAGCTCTATCCGTATTGGATCTCCGCATTAGGTAATGCAGTTACGTAGAACCTGCGTTGAAAATGCTTTTCTTCTGAGTTGATGCTTAGGTTTTAAAACACCTTTGATAAGCTGAAAATTTAAGGAAAAGGACTATGATACATAATGCCTTAGAATTAGGAGCTGAAGAAGAGGTGTCCCCACTTTCCATTGGGAAGAAGATAAAGATGGAAACTAGAAATGAATATACAAACATGGGGACAGAAAAATCAAGGTCATTTGTGCAAATATCAATACCCATTTCTGTGTACCTCTAGAGGAATTGGTAGTAATAATTGCTAAATAGTGTTTATGTACTTAGTTTTCAGTAGATTTCTGAGTGCTTTGGCTTTAACTTTCTTTTTTGTCAAGTCTATATATGTTGTAACTTTTTTATCAAAAACAAAATGAAGTGTTTAATGCAAGATTTATTTTAGATCTTCACATATGATTTTCACGTCTTCTATCATTTATTCTACTTTGCTATGCATAATGATACTTTTATACTCTTCACTTAGCCTAGATTCCATCTATTGAACTAAAAAAGCTTTGTTGCATTGTAAGAATCTATTAAAAAATTACCCCAGTGGAGCCAACAGGTGATGTAGTGGTTAACAGCACAGGTCTTCCACATGGCTGACTCTAGTATGAATCCTGGACCTGGTGGCTAGAAAATCACACTGGTTGTGTGTGCGAGTGTACCCAAAATCCCAGGAGGAGAATGAAAGAGAAGGGATTTGGCATGGCCATCCTTCCTGGGAGATGATTTCTGACTTACTCACTCACTCACTGTCTGTCTTGGATATGCCAGATACACATACGTGCCTGTGATCCTGGCTTGCTGATAAAGGCAGGAGGCAGATCATAGCATGAGACCCTGTTGAGGGTACTTGGCTCCGTCTCTGTCTCAAGGAAGGAAGGATAGAAGGGAGAAATAGAATGAACTTTAAAAAAGAATGAACTTTGAATGTCTTTCTACTCTGGCCTGATCATATCATTGAACAGAAATGCACTTGTGACTGTTGTTTTAAAATAATATCATAAGAAACATTTGCAATATACATGATTAGTTTAGGCCTAAAGATTGCTTCTCCCCCTCCCCCCAGATACGCAGGATGACAAGGAAAGAATTAAAAAGTATGGGGCATTTATACGTAGTCTGCCAGGAGTCAACCGAGCAACCCTGGCAGCCATCATTGAGCATCTTTACAGGTAGGTGGATTCCTGAACTTTCCTGGACATCTCAGATATGGCACTCAGCAAATCATTATTTCTTAAATTTGAAGTGTGTTCAATCTTCCTCACGTGACTGAATCGTTCACCATATCTCAAGTACTGTCACTTTAGCCTCTGTGCAACTAAGTTACATTTCTAGGGAAGGAGCCCTGTAGAACTTCTTTATTTCTTTAGAGTTTTTGCTATAGGGCGTGTGTGCTCACTGCAGAGAGAGAAAGAGATAGAAAGGGAAAGTGAGAAATCAGCTCTCCAGGAGGAATGGTCCTACCACAATCCTTTCTCCTCTGTCCTCAGGATTTGGGGCATGCATGTACATGTGTCCAACGTGGTTTTCAAACCACCATGTCTAGGATTTGAATTGCTGTTGGCCATGTGGGAGTCCAGTGCCTTAACCACCATGGCAGCTGTTGGCCCTGAGAATTTCTTGAATGAACCAGAACCAATCGTATACAGCATCCTCACATGTACCCAGTAGGGAATGGGACATAACCACACCCCACCATGGGAAACTGGAGAAAGAAAGAACTGTAGGGACCGGAATTTCATAATAGGAATCTGCGAGCACAGTATTTGATCATGGTGGACTGAAAAAAACTCTCGTTTCTTCATTCTCAATTTGTATTTTTTTTGAAGAGATTTTTTCCCTAGGGTGCAGGCACTCGCTACACAGAGAGAAAGACAATGAGAGGAAACATGAAAAATCACCACCCAGGGGGTATGACCATGCCACAATCCCTTCTCCAGTCTCCTTTAGGGATCTTGGGCTTGCACACACACATGCCTGGAGTGAGGTTTAAGTCACCCAGTTCAGGACTCAAACCCTAGTTGACCATATGGAAGTCCAGCGACATAACTGCTATGCCATCTGCTGGTCCCCTTAGTTTGTATTTTATCTAATCTTTATGTTTTGCTATCGAACTGTTGATCAGAGGAATTTTAAAAGTCAAAACCACTTTCTACATTCAGGCATAAAATCCGTCTTCATTTGGAACGATGTAAGGAATATAGTGGTGACATAATATATGCATCTGACGGATGAGGATGTTTGAAAATGAGCTTGTGAGCCAGTTAATGACCCAGGGGTTAAGGTGGCTGGATTCCACATGGCTGTCCATGTGGTTCAAGTTTCAGACGTGGTGTAAAAATAGGTCAGGTGCTTGTGCTCACATGTATAAATTTTGCTTAAGTAATACAGTGCTGTACTTTCTGATAGTGATGAAATAATCTTCTGAATAAACCCTTACAATGCTGAATTTTATTAAAAGCATCTCATTTGAAGGCTAGATTTAGAGGTCTTTTTTTCTCTGTATATTTTTCCTAGCTACTATTTCTCATGTAGGTAAACTCCATTATTATAAAACTGATTTTCTTTCTTTCTTTCTTTTTTTTTTTTAATTGCCAGAAGGCACATGCACTCACCAAAGAGAGAGAAAGGCAGGGGAAAGCATACCTGGTGGGGTGTGGTTATGTTCCATTCCCTTCTCCTCATTTCTCCATCCTGCTGGGATTTGGGGCATGCCTGAACCACGAGGCCACAGGGCCAGCCCTCCACGACTGATTTTCTTACTATACCATACAAATATTGTCTATATTTTATAGTTCTATCTCTACTTATACGATGTTGGTCCAAATTTTTGTTTATTTGTTTTTACTTTTGGTTTTAATTTGCCACAGGATGTATACCAAGAGATAGAAGAGGGGAAAAGTGAGAAAGCACTCCCCCACCCAATGGAGAATGGTCATCCCATAACCCCTTCTCTTCCCTTTCTTCTTCTTTTGGAGATTTTGGGCATGCGTGCACACAGGCCTGGTATTTTCAGTCACTGTGTGTGGAACTTAAACTAGGCAGTTGACCATGTGAGATCCACCCTCTCAATCACAATACCAGAAACTAGTCTTTGGCCAAATTTTAATACAGAAAATTTTTGTAGAAAGTACAGAATTATAGAGGAGAGCTTGAGAGATTCATTTTGTGCTGAGGCCCAGAGAATGCTTCTACACTTCAAATTTAAAGAGACATGTAAACTGGACAAAAAAGAGAAATAAGAGAAATGATCAAAGGCTGTTTTCTGGGGTGAAGGCGTACCAGGAGATGAGGTGGTTTGTAGTTGTCTGGCAGAGGTGATAAAAGTCTTGGTAGGTTGTGCGAAAACATTTGAACTTTATTTCTTTAAAAGGTAAGAAGTGACCAATTGATTTTGTTTTAGGGTAATAAGCCCTGTGGATGGGATTGGTTGGGAAGGGGTAGGGGCAAAGAAGCTAATTAGGAAGCCGATTTTTTGAGACTTCTGATGAAGCAGCCTTGGTGAGAAGACGGAACAGGCCACATTTGGAACGTTTGGAAAAGCCAACATCTAGGGCCAGAGGAATAACAGAAGAAAAGGAAACACTGTTTTCAGCCCAGTTCATCTCAGAAATTAGGGCTGCCACAGAAACTAAAGACAGGGGGGATGAAAACTACCAAAGGAGAATGATATTGCAGAAGGAAGTCTCAAAGATAGGACTATTTAGTAGTGTCAAAGTTCCAGAGGTAAATTTGGATAAGGTCAGGTTGATTTAGCATTTAATTCGATCTTTACCCTACATAAAAGATGACTTCCTCTATCAGTAACATCCACTTAATTCTATTCTCTAGTTACTAACCAGGCCCTACAGTGTGATTAAAGCCAGGCTCTGGTGAAGATGCTTAGATTTTAGTAACAGGGGCAGACATGCACATCATTGGTCCAGATGTTGACAGCCTAGGATAGTAAAAGTGTGGAGGGCTTTCAGAGGGGTGTGCACACTTATTACACCTCTATTCAATTTCAATTTCTTTCGTATCTTATTAATCATACATAAAGATTGTACTTGCTCTAGTTCATTCTCTGTTTTGCAGTTTGGCATTGTATTTATTTTCTAACATCATATGTGTTGCTGTCATATTTGCTCACATTCTTTTACACCTACTTGATTCTATGTTCTTTATATTCAGGAATATTTATTAGGTCATTGGGAAAGTCATGATGTATTTTTTTTATGCAGAGATGCATCATGCCTTTCCTAACGATGCAATAATTTAGTATTGCTATATTTCTTTGATGGAGTTCAGTCTTCCTTGTTTAGTATGTATTGAAATAATTTCCAAATGTAATTAAATAGACAATTGAGCAGCTGTTGAATATGCAGTCAGTGACAAATAAATACAGACTGTTAACAGACACTTCCATGTGCATCCCTTAGAGTTCTCATGCAATGCATTTTTGTCAGTGTAACTTTCCCTTTCCTGGGGCAATGGCTTTGTTCATTTTAATCACTTTGAACTTGCATTTGTCAACACTTTCAATGCTCTTTGTAAGAATTAAGAGTTGTAGCTTACTGACTCAGAGAGTCAACTTGTCGGCTTGTATCTGTTCATTATAAAAAGCCATTTTTAGTTATATCCAGGAAAAATGTAGTTGTATTTTTTTTTCTTTTTTAGGTTTTTGCTTTAGTTTGTGCTCAACAGAGAGAAACAGAGAGAGAGTGAAAGTGAGAAGTCATCCTCAGGGGGATGGCCACACCACAGTACTTCTCCTCCATTCTTTTCTGGGGATTTTGAGCATGCATGCAAGTGTGCCCAGCATAGTTTTCAAGCTGCTGGGCCCAGGACTTGAACTGCAGTCGGCTATATGGGAGTCCCCAGTCTTAACCACCACACCACCTACTGGTCCCTGTAATTGTATTTTCAAAATAAGTGTTTGCTTTTAGAATAACTGTACAAACACATGCTCTCAGGTGTTCTTTCGTACCTGATAGGCTCTTCCTGGGAAGTCTAGCACACACTCAAACCTGGAATTTGGAAGACTCTGTTACGCACCTGCTAATCCACTTTTCTTGCCTTGTTTCCTATTTACCTCCTGCCCCTTTCCTCTTTCATTTATGCTGTAGTCCCCACAAGTCATTTTATACCACTTTGCAAGCATACTCAAGCTTTGGCTGTACATTGTTTCATAGTTTGGAATTGTTGGGATTTGCTCAGTCCTTCCTCCAAATTAGCAATCCAATCAATCCAGTCCTATTGTCTATATTTTATAGTTCTATCTCTACTTATACGATGTTGGTCCAAATTTTTGTTTATTTGTTTTTACTTTTGGTTTTAATTTGCCACAGGATGTATACCAAGAGATAGAAGAGGGGAAAAGTGAGAAAGCACTCCCCCACCCAATGGAGAATGGTCATCCCATAACCCCTTCTCTTCCCTTTCTTCTTCTTTTGGAGATTTTGGGCATGCGTGCACACAGGCCTGGTATTTTCAGTCACTGTGTGTGGAACTTAAACTAGGCAGTTGACCATGTGAGATCCACCCTCTCAATCACAATACCAGAAACTAGTCTTTGGCCAAATTTTAATACAGAAAATTTTTGTAGAAAGTACAGAATTATAGAGGAGAGCTTGAGAGATTCATTTTGTGCTGAGGCCCAGAGAATGCTTCTACACTTCAAATTTAAAGAGACATGTAAACTGGACAAAAAAGAGAAATAAGAGAAATGATCAAAGGCTGTTTTCTGGGGTGAAGGCGTACCAGGAGATGAGGTGGTTTGTAGTTGTCTGGCAGAGGTGATAAAAGTCTTGGTAGGTTGTGCGAAAACATTTGAACTTTATTTCTTTAAAAGGTAAGAAGTGACCAATTGATTTTGTTTTAGGGTAATAAGCCCTGTGGATGGGATTGGTTGGGAAGGGGTAGGGGCAAAGAAGCTAATTAGGAAGCCGATTTTTTGAGACTTCTGATGAAGCAGCCTTGGTGAGAAGACGGAACAGGCCACATTTGGAACGTTTGGAAAAGCCAACATCTAGGGCCAGAGGAATAACAGAAGAAAAGGAAACACTGTTTTCAGCCCAGTTCATCTCAGAAATTAGGGCTGCCACAGAAACTAAAGACAGGGGGGATGAAAACTACCAAAGGAGAATGATATTGCAGAAGGAAGTCTCAAAGATAGGACTATTTAGTAGTGTCAAAGTTCCAGAGGTAAATTTGGATAAGGTCAGGTTGATTTAGCATTTAATTCGATCTTTACCCTACATAAAAGATGACTTCCTCTATCAGTAACATCCACTTAATTCTATTCTCTAGTTACTAACCAGGCCCTACAGTGTGATTAAAGCCAGGCTCTGGTGAAGATGCTTAGATTTTAGTAACAGGGGCAGACATGCACATCATTGGTCCAGATGTTGACAGCCTAGGATAGTAAAAGTGTGGAGGGCTTTCAGAGGGGTGTGCACACTTATTACACCTCTATTCAATTTCAATTTCTTTCGTATCTTATTAATCATACATAAAGATTGTACTTGCTCTAGTTCATTCTCTGTTTTGCAGTTTGGCATTGTATTTATTTTCTAACATCATATGTGTTGCTGTCATATTTGCTCACATTCTTTTACACCTACTTGATTCTATGTTCTTTATATTCAGGAATATTTATTAGGTCATTGGGAAAGTCATGATGTATTTTTTTTATGCAGAGATGCATCATGCCTTTCCTAACGATGCAATAATTTAGTATTGCTATATTTCTTTGATGGAGTTCAGTCTTCCTTGTTTAGTATGTATTGAAATAATTTCCAAATGTAATTAAATAGACAATTGAGCAGCTGTTGAATATGCAGTCAGTGACAAATAAATACAGACTGTTAACAGACACTTCCATGTGCATCCCTTAGAGTTCTCATGCAATGCATTTTTGTCAGTGTAACTTTCCCTTTCCTGGGGCAATGGCTTTGTTCATTTTAATCACTTTGAACTTGCATTTGTCAACACTTTCAATGCTCTTTGTAAGAATTAAGAGTTGTAGCTTACTGACTCAGAGAGTCAACTTGTCGGCTTGTATCTGTTCATTATAAAAAGCCATTTTTAGTTATATCCAGGAAAAATGTAGTTGTATTTTTTTTTCTTTTTTAGGTTTTTGCTTTAGTTTGTGCTCAACAGAGAGAAACAGAGAGAGAGTGAAAGTGAGAAGTCATCCTCAGGGGGATGGCCACACCACAGTACTTCTCCTCCATTCTTTTCTGGGGATTTTGAGCATGCATGCAAGTGTGCCCAGCATAGTTTTCAAGCTGCTGGGCCCAGGACTTGAACTGCAGTCGGCTATATGGGAGTCCCCAGTCTTAACCACCACACCACCTACTGGTCCCTGTAATTGTATTTTCAAAATAAGTGTTTGCTTTTAGAATAACTGTACAAACACATGCTCTCAGGTGTTCTTTCGTACCTGATAGGCTCTTCCTGGGAAGTCTAGCACACACTCAAACCTGGAATTTGGAAGACTCTGTTACGCACCTGCTAATCCACTTTTCTTGCCTTGTTTCCTATTTACCTCCTGCCCCTTTCCTCTTTCATTTATGCTGTAGTCCCCACAAGTCATTTTATACCACTTTGCAAGCATACTCAAGCTTTGGCTGTACATTGTTTCATAGTTTGGAATTGTTGGGATTTGCTCAGTCCTTCCTCCAAATTAGCAATCCAATCAATCCAGTCCTTCTTTGTAAATTGTAGTCATCTATTTTTTAACAGTTTTTTCTTATGTTCAGTCTAGCTAGAGTATAATCTACTTGAAAGACCGAACCGTGTGTTTTTCTGTAAATCACCCACCGTGCCTTGTATATCAGAGAACTTTGATATGTGTGTGTCAAAAAAAATGATCCATGAGTGTTCTTGATATGGTTCTGTGAAATTTGCAAACAGAAGTGTGTCATAACGAGTATGCTTTCCTCTAACAGGGTACAGAAATGCTCAGAAATCAATCACATGGATGCCCATAGTCTGGCCATGGTCTTCTCATCCTGTTTGTTTCAAACGAAAGGACAAACTAATGAAGAGGTGAATGTAATCGAGGACCTGATTAATAATTATGTTGAAATATTTGAGGTAAATATTTTCTAGCCTGACCTTGCTCATTCTGATGTCGTTTGCTGTTGGCAAACAAAGATGAATGTTTCAGGTTGTTATTACTCAGGTTTTTTATGACTGCTTCAGAAAAAAAAGGAAATAAAAGTTATATTTTCTTTGATCTTTAAAATATTTCATTGTATTAACAGATATAACTAGGTTTTTAAGCTATAGTCATGTATTTAAATTTGGGTTCTTTGAAAGCTTTTTTACCATCTGGTGTCTGTTGGATAGAATAGATCTATTTATAGGGTTTTTGTGTGTGTTTTTTTTTTCCTTCAATGTGTATGCATTAAGTATATCTACTTAGAGGTGTGAAGTTACTAATTTAACATTTCAGTAAGAGACACCAGGCTTAAATTCTGCAATTGAAAGCATTTTAAGGTTTTTTTTTTTAAATTATGCCCTCAACTGGAAAAAAATAAAATTCTGAAATATTGTTATTTCATTTTTCCTAAGTCATCTCTGCTTTAATAAGTTGTTGTTTTATAAAGTTAATATTTTCCTGTTTCATCAGAAAACTGCTAGGATAAGAATGATTTTTTTCATTCCGAGACATAAAAACATAGGCCACGAATCCAGGATTTGGATATGGTGGATCTGTGTCTCATGCTATTTCGTAACTAAAGAGTTCTAAAATCTCAGTTTTGTCATTTGACCTTTTTGAGCTTTCCATTAAATAACTGGTGTTTGTAAGATGACTTGTTTTCCAAGAGGCTGGCTGTACCCAGTGAAACCAAGTGGCGGGGTGTGACATATTCCCATGTGTACAGATCTTTCGTTCATAATTTATCACAAGATTCCTTAGCCAAGGGAAAGGAGCCATCTTAGTAAATAAAATATCGTAGTTTGCTTGTAGGAGTGGACACCAGAGTTGTTGATTTTCTTTACTCTTTGATTTCCGCTCTGTTTCTTTCTGTGTGTGTCCCCTTTCTGATCAATAGCAACTTCTTGGCAATAAGCTGATCCTGAGAAAAGACAGAATTAGGAAAAAAATAATAATAATGCGTGGCTTTACATGCTCTCTTTATTTTTGATTTTTGTTCTATCCCATTATTAAAACATAGGTGGTTATATTTACATTATGTTACACCTAACTTTACTTAAAGGGTGGGAACTTCATAAGCACTTAATGAACATTTCAGTTTGAGAAATGAGTCCTTGCTTGACTCTTAACCTACATAAACATTCAGAAACTAGTCATCAGACCCTTTGTTTATTAAATCTCCTGTAGCAACAGGACTTCCCTTGATGCGATCTACAGCCTGAAGTACCATCATACAGTGTGGTGAACTTGACAAAAGGTCATCGCATTGGCTTTATTTCTGCCTCAGTTGTGTGGCCCGATGCTGATGAGGATAGCCATTCTCAGTTACTTGGAACTCGTTGGTATTGAAATTCCTTAAGAGTTAGCCAGATGAGTACCATCAATCTTGTATTCTACATTATTAGAATGTTCCAAATTATATTTTAAACAGGTTAAAGAAGACCAAGTCAAACAAATGGACATAGAAAATAGCTTTATTACCAAGTGGAAGGACACTCAAGTGAGTAGTAGTAGTTAGATCTCTAAAACAATTAAAACAGAACCGTCTGTTGTAAGTAAAGACGTTTGTCGTGTGTGTTTTCAAGATCCTATCTGAAGAAAAGTAACAGTAACGGGGGAAAAAAAACCCTAGATAAATGAGTTATGTAGTTCTGTAGCTTGATACATTCATGCAAAATATGTTCATATAAATTGTTAAAATATAGGGGGAAAACCAGTTTTATGTATCAAGATTGTCTTTGTGAAATCCATGTTTATTGATAAAAGCACTTGAAAATGCCAGATCTCAAAGGAAGCATTTAAAGCCAAAGAAATACTGGAATAAATTGAAAAATTCAGGCAGCCTCATGCTTCTTTCCATTATGACTTTGAGACTATAAATGATTTCTTATATGCTTTTGCTCTGCATGCTTTCAGACTAACGGGAATGTATCTAACCTAGTCTTGTAGCACGTGCTATTTTTGTCCTAAGTTGACTCCTCTCAAGCCTGTCTTGCTTCCCTCAGCCACTTCATACTGGGTTTGTGTCTCCCAGTGGCACTGTGCTTGTCTAAGGTACCTTACCTTGTTTTATGAGTATTCGCTAACTTCTTAAAGTCGATCGTTAATCACTGTCTAGTAGCTAGGAATTATACTGGGTTCGGGGTACTAATATAAGTGATAGAACTGTGTCAAATACACTCTGTTTACAAACATACTCTGAAAAGGAGGCAAGTATTTCATTAGTCAGACCCTAAATTCTTCTCTGTCCTGGAATGTCCACTTACTAATTAAGGAGATCACTGGTGTTCTCATTCCATCGGAGGGAAATGAGGGCAGACTTAGATCCCCAGTGTTTATTTATTTATTCATTTACTTACTTACTTACTATTTACTTATTTATTTATTTATTTATTTATTGGTTTTTGTCAGAGGGTGATATATTTGCCAGAAAGGGGAGAGAGAGGGATATGCAGAAAGAGGAAAAGTGAGAAATCACCTCTCCATAGCAGATGGCCACACTGCGATCCCTTCTGTCCCTTTCTCCTCCTCAGGATTTGAGGCACACGCCTACACATGCCTGGCATGATTTTAAAGCCATTGGATCTGAGACTTTAAGTGTGGTTGATCATGTAAGAGTCCAGCACCTTAACCACTGAGTCACCTGCTGGGTTCAGATCCTCCATGATATTAGATGCTAATTACTAATGAATACTTTCCTGTATTTTTTTTTTTTTTTTGGAGAGGTTTTTCGCTATACGGCACGTCTGCTCGCCAGACAGACAAAGAGAGACATAGAGACAGAAAGCGAGAAATCACCCCCCAGGGGGGATGGTCATGCCGCAATCCCTTCTCCTCCATTCTCCTCCTGGGATCTTGGTCATGCACACACGTGCCCGGTGTCAGTTTTAAGCCACCGGGTCCAGGACGCGAACCGTGGTCGACTACGTGGGAGTCCAGCGACATAGCCATTACGCTAACTGCTGGTTCCCATTCTTTCCTGTATTTTGATCCCAATTAATTTGCACAGCTTTTGGTGAAGTTGGTTTTTTAACATACATATATACATACAAATAAATAAGCCAATAAATAAATGAGTCATTGTCAGTTCTCTTAGACTCACACTTTTTGGAAAGGGCCTCAGTAATGTAATAATGGATCGTGTGTATCTGAAAGGTAATCTTTGGGAGCTCGTTATTAGAGAAAGTATTTGTTTCCATTTGCATTTTTATCTTTCATATACACATGAAGGAGATGAATCTTAAATACTTTTAAACTCAGTATAAATAAAAATAAGACAAGAATTGTCTATAAAATATAGTAATTGGAATTAACAAAGAAAAGCTTGGAAGAATGTGTTGTTTTGCTTGAGTTTTTCTCTAATCCATTCAAAACTGTCCTGTGGAATATATTTTTGACAGTTTCTGTCTTACTCCTGTTTAAATTTCTTAGCTGTTCCTTTTTTGGGGGCTTCATTCTGAGTTCTATATGTTTACTTTTTAATTTTTAAAATGTGTTCTTCCTGGAGAGTTGTTTATGCAAACATACTGAAAAGCAAAAATGTCAACCCAAGCTTCTCCTTTCTAAAATCTTTGTGTAGCATTGAAAGTGAGGGAGAAAATCTGGAAATGAGCTTTTCTAAGCTTGTGGTGCTAGAATAATTAAGACAATTCTTCAAAGTACATTTTTAATGTTTCCCCCACAAATTTACTTATTCGATTTTTATCCTGTGGCAAAGTCAAGTTCATCCTTTGTTTATTTTTTAAAAATTGGGTGATGGATCTTATTTTTCAAGTAGTTATCTAATTTATGGGAGTTTCTGGAAAAAGATACTCAAACACTTTTTATAGATTCATTTAGTTCTTTGATACCCTTCTCCACTTTAGACTGTCAATCTGCACAGTGAAGTCTTACGATTTTTATTTTCTGGTTTGTATCTTCTTCACTTCATATGTCTTCTGGGATATAATAGCCTAAAAAGCTTGGCACTTAATGCTTGGCCACAGATAATTTTGTGTGCCTTATTCTATCACTTCATTTTGATTGTTTCTTACTGAATTTGCTTTCTCCATTTGTAACTTTAATATATCTCTGATCTTATTTTTTTTTTGAATCTGCAAAAGGGCACATGCACTTATTAGAAAGAGAAAGAACCCACACAGCATCCCCACACACATACACCCTGCAATAGGGGTGGCCCCACCACAGTCCCTTCTTCAGGATCTTGGGCATGCACACAAATAAGACTCATGTTTTTCAAGCCAGTGGGTGGGTCCAGGACTCGAACCACGCAATTGACTATGTGAGATCCAGCCATCTTTATTTATTTATTTTTTTTGCTATAGGATGCGTGCACTTATTCACCAGACAGACAGAGACAGAGAGATAGAAAGCGAGAAATCACCCCCTGGGGGGGATGGCTACACCACAATCCCTTCTCTTCCATTCTCCTCTTCGGATCTCGGGCATGCACGCACATGCGCCTGGCGTGAGTTTTAAGCCACCGGGTCCGTGATGTGAACCGCGGTCGACTACATGGGAGTCCAGCGACATAGCCATTACGCTAACTGCTGGTCCCCCAGGATCCAGCCATCTTAACAACCACGCCACTAGCTGGCCCTCCCTGACCTGATTTATCCACCAATTTCAACTTTTGAATATATCATCTCTTTAAACATTTAGCAAGACCTGTGTTGCCTTTTAGTTATCAATATTGGTCACACATTACAGCTTAGAGAAGAATTGCTTATGATTTGCTTTGTTTATTCTGTTAACGTTCACAGTGATGCCTCTACAGAGTCAAGTTATCAAAGTCAGCAGATTTCTATTGTAGTCAGAATTACTATTTTAGTAAAAATGTACGCATGTTCTAGAGAGCCATGTAAGCTCTTGAATAAGAGATTTCAAAAATCACGTTATTATTGTTGCTGATGACCACATTCATGTAGATTTCTTTTCCTTATCAAGTATATCTGGGAATGGATATACCATGCTTGTCAATAGAAGAAGTGAGCTCATTTCGTTGTTACAAAATATTAAGAACTATGACTAGACTCTATCTGAATGTTTGTGTGTCTTTGAAATATACTTATGTGTGCTGTCTTCATAACTGCCCTTTTCTAGGTTTCCCAGGCTGGAGATTTGTTGATTGAAGTGTATGTAGAGAGGAAGGAGCCAGACTGTAGTATTATAATTCGGGTGAGTCCTGAAGAGGGATGTTGGAAGTCACAAGTATTAGCATTGATTTGCATATCTCAAATATTTCAGTCCTTGTGTATTTGATGGTACCCCCCCCCAGTTCAAACTTGATGGATGACAAGGTTGACTTTTTAAACCCACGTCCTCTGGGAATTCTATGTTTTAATCATTTAGAAAGAGGGTATCGTCTATGCTTAGGTTACTGTTAGGATTTTCTGTAGGTTGTAGAAAATAACTCAAACAGGAGAGACCTCAGAAAGTTTGTGGGAAAAAAATGAAATTAAAGCCCAAGTTTATTTTGCTGCAGATTTTGAGATCCATGCAGTTTTTTTCATACCATTTTCATCCATTTTCCATGGATTTGTGAGACCCCTTGTCTTTCTTCCCTTCTTCCCTTCTTCGCTTCTTGACATTAAGCAAGTTGTTTAACCTGAGTCTCGGTCATCTCGTCTGTAACGTGAAGACACATTGCATTAGTTATATTATAGCATTGAGATGAGGCCTCAAGTTAATTCTTGTAAAACACAGGAGATGTCTCGGTACACAACGGGTTAATAAATATTACTACCCTTGTTCCTGGTACTTTAGTACCCTCTCTTCCAATTTACTTGAACAGTGGATAACTTTTCTTCCTTGAGACTCTTGGTCATTTGTGCTACATTAAAAATAGATCCTTCTCACATTTCTGTCTCCAGGGCTTCATCTGCGTTAGGGATAGTGACTGGGATGTTGCGCTTCTTTCCTGGTAAAAACCATGCTCTCTCTACTGCGAGGGATAATCATTCTGCCATCAAACAAAAATTCAGCTTTCGGTCCTTATTCCTTTTTTAGATTTTATTTATTCATTCCATGAGTGAGAGAGACAGAGACACAGCACCCTCGACAGGATCTCAGAGCTGCACTTCACCCCCAGCTTCAGCTGGTTCAGATGGTGGCATCCCTGTGCCCAGGGTACACAGGAAAGTCTCTGGACAAGAACCAGCAGCAAAGCCCCACGTGGTCAGGCTCACAGAGTGTCATCTTGTTCATCTTCACCATTTAGTCAGTCTTCGTCTCCTTTAAAGGCCAGCGTTTAGCCGAGCCACAACAGTGGGTATTTCTGGACCTTAGTGAGGTTAAACACTTTGCAGTTGTTATTTTAGATATCTCTAATGGTTCCTCCTTAGCACCCTGTGGCATTCATTAGCTGCTTTATGGAGTGTGAAGCTGAAACGCTGTGACCACGGGCATAGTCCTTATGGAAACTTTGTCTTGCCACTCCTTGGCCACATCTCCCTTCTTACACTGAATCCATGGTGTCGATCACAGGGATGGGAGAAACTAGTACAGATCAGTCAGCACAGGGCTGTCACTCATGCTGGGAGAGAGAATCAGATCACGTGACCTCACTGCCCACATGTCAACTCCTCAGCAGCCCGTTTTACCTGTAAAGCTGTCACGGACGTTACTGCAACCCAGAAACATTCTCACACGATCCTAATCGTATTTCAATGAAGGACCGTCTAGTTTCATCTATAATGCCACAGGCTTGTAAGAAACATGAGAACAGCTATATAAAAATAATTACTGACCTTTGTTTTCATGGTTAAGACTGCAGAATCTTTTAGGCACATTTATTTCTACTGATCACCACGTATGGCGATAGATGAAGCAGGTTCATAAAAATGGAAACGGGAGCTGAGAAAAATGAAGGACTGAGTCCAAACCTGGCATCATACTTCAAACCTGACGCTCATTGCACTAATACTTGAGTAATGAGTTCTTAATGATATAAAGTTCTGTTTTCTAAAGAGGAGCTTTGGGCCTCTTCTGGAGCAAGGGGTAGAGTTACGGTCTTCCTACTCCAATCCGAGGTACTCCCTGCGGCCTAAGGCACCAATTTTCTTTCTCAGTAATTTATTATTTATTTATTTATTTATTTTTAAGAAAAGGGTGTACTCCCTTAAAAGAAAAAAAAAAAAATGAAATCCTTGCCGATCACCAGCATCTTTGAAATGGTTCATGAATATTCCTACTGTGTGAAGTTCTCTACTTTTCCCAGGTGCTGGTTTTCGTTTTTTCATGTTTAACTATACACTTCATTGAGCTTTTCTGAAGAGAAAAGAGTAGACCCCTTTGGCTAATTATTAGAGTTCAGAAACACTAAACTCCATGAAGTACAAAAGGCAAGTGACTCACCAGTAGTGAAAAGTGCGTTTTTGTTATTTATGTAAGCGCGATAGGCCTGTGAGGAGCAATGGGCAGGAGACATGGGAATATGAGCATGTTCTGTTTCCAGAAGGTTTTTGTTGGTTCGTTTTTGTTTTGTGTTTCTTTGTTTTATCTGAGGACATACTTTTACCAAAAACATGCAGAACTAAGTCCTAGTTGCCGTGTTCCAATGCTTAAAACCTCTTCTCTTTGTTTAACCTTGTAACTAAGTTCTAACTGATGAAAGCGATCTTGCGTTTGGCCAGCATGCACTTAAGATTGGCAAAAAAAAAAAAAAAAAAAACAAGAAGAAATGAATTTTAAAAATCTCAAAACTCCCTGAAGAGGTAGTGAGCTTATGTGATAGCCTCGGGCTTTGAGACTCTTACAGAGCTGGCTCTGGATTAACAAAGCAGACTCTGCCCTACGCCCCGAAATCCTGGCTCCGGAATTCTTTCGTTTACCACCATCTGTCATTTGGCATGGCAGGACACACCACAGACCACCAAAGCCCTGGAGCTTTTTGGCACGGCATGGAGCAGTCAACTGTGTATAATTTAGGGCCCAGGCTGCTCTTGATTACAGAAGTGAGCAAAAAAGTTTTACTCATAGAAAGCGATTGGACTCACCGTATGGGAAAGGGTTTTATGTGACTGGGTACATTCTTCCATTCTGAGTGGTCTAATTGCTCCCTGACTGAGAAAAGATTCTTCCCCATGAACAAAAGCATTCCTAATTAGGTCTTTATTGTAATATTGTTTTCACACTTATATTAAAATGTATTACATTTTACGGAGGGGTTCTGAATGAGCTGTTCTTCTCTCTCTGCTTAGAGAGGCTAGTTGTAACTATTCTAGGAAGAAATTTGGGGTGTCGTTAGATGGTGATGGGGACTATTGCTGCCCAAGCATAAGCCTACACCTGTAGCTAACTTAACTTTTGAAGAAATCTTGCTTTTATTGCAGATATCCCCTGTGATGGAAGCAGACGAATTAACTACTGATATATTAGCGATAAAAAATATCATTCCTGCAAAAGGTGACATATGGGCCACATTTGAAGTCATTGAAAATGAGGAGCTGGGTAAGTGATTCTTATGACAGGGGAATTCTTAAATTCCTTACCTTATTCAAACTACCCGTTGGTGACAGGTCATCGCTAGCATTTTCCGTTTGTCTGAAGATTAACACCTCTTTATGAGTTCTCTTCTACCTTAGCACGTATGTTGACAAATGTTATCACCACTTTAGGTTACTGTTGTACTCATAAAAATAATTAGATTATTTTATTCACTGTAAAAATATAGTGCTAAGCATTAGGCATCTATGTTTCTGCCTCAGGAAACAAGACTTTTGTTTAAAGCGACAAGCTGTGTGGTTTATAACAACATTTTAAATGTCACCATCACCTTAGTCCTAAATGCCACATATTTAAAAAGAATAGAGAATGTTGATTGAACATTATTTTTATCCTAAAGTATGACTTTTTTAAAACTAGCAAAAGCTTCTCTTCTTTGGCTTTTCCTTCATTTCCATCGTTCGTGGATCAGATAGGTTGTCATCTTTCATCCCAAAGACACTGAAGGAGATTTTAAAACACCTTGGCTACCCCAGTAGTCAAGTGCTGAATAAGCTTAACATTCTAATGACACCACTTGATTTTAAAGACCTCTACAAAAAAAAAAAAAAAAAACTAAGATGCAGAATGTCTTTGTACCTTGACCATCTGTCTAGCTGATACCTACTAAGGTCTTGGGACCCTTCCAAGTGTAGCTGTCAAACTGCCAAAAGGAAAATCTTGCCACCCGCAAGCTCAAGGTAAAAATTAACATTCAACATTGAAATACATTCCACATTGAAATACCCCATGGTGTATTATTAGAAGTGTTGCAGTCACTGTTAGAATGGAATGGATTATTAAGTGCTTTGTCTTTCACTCCATCTTGATATTTTAATTTAATTTTATTTTTTCCATGAGAGAGAGAGAGAGAGATAGAGGAAAAGATTAGTACCCTTGATGGGGGTCTTACACAGCCACCTCCATGCCCAGCCTGCCAGATCACAGGCATGCATGGATGCACCTGGAGGGAATAGGTGGACTCAGGAACTGAACCCCAGTTTTTCATAAGGATCCAGCATTGCAAAGCAGAGCACTGCCATTTCACCGCCATGGCTGGCCCCTATCTTGACGATGGTATTCCTTTATTTTAATCACATACAATTATTTATTTATCATAGCTTTTGTTATAGGGTGTGTGACTTACCAGAGAGAGACAGAGAGTGAGTGAAAGTGAGAATTCACTTCCCAGGGGGAATGGCCACACCACAATCCCTTCTCCTCCATTCTCCACTCCGGGTTTTCATCACTCACATACATGTGCCTGGCGTGTTTTCAGTCCACCGGGTCTGGGACTGGAACCACATAGTCAGCCATGTGGGATCCAACCACCTTAACCTCCATGCCACCTGATGGCTCCCAATTCTTTGAAAATGTAATCTGTTACAGAATTATTTCTCAATCTACGTTAGCAACCTTCAGTGACTCTGGTGCTTTCATATCAGCTTACAGGATCTCACACGCTCAGTCCTTCCCATGCACAGAAATGCCCTGGCAGGTGACCCCTGGACCCGCAGTTTCCCTCTGAAGTCCAGAGTATGTGCTTCAGGTTTTCCTGCAGCTGTTGTTTCTGTGGCATTTATTGGAACATCCTTTCCCTTTTCCCTTGATGATCTTCACTCTAGTTTCAGTGCTGCCTGGATTTTTCCTTGGTTCTCTCATCATTTTATTGCATTCATAATTTCTTCGTTATCTCCTCAACATTGGAACTCCCCTGCTGCAGTCTCCTTTGCCACCTTTCCTTCTTTTTACATGTTTTTTATAGACCATCCTTCCATTCTTCTTGCTTGACTATGGGTTCACTGATGTTTCCCAACTATGTCTTTGTCATCCTCTCTCTGCCCCACCTAATGCCTCTTTTAAAATGAAGACTAAAAATTTTATTCAATTGCATCTCATTTCTTTTTGTATCACCTATCACCTGAATTTATACTTGACTTTTTTTTTTTTTAAGTTTTTGTTTCTCTCCATGAGAGGGAGAGAGACAGAAAGAGAGACAACACCATCAAACAGAATCTTCACACCACAATCCACCTCTGGCTTCAGTCAGTCCTAGGTCATGGTCAAAGACATGGTATACTCAGGGAGGTCTCGTATACTCAGGGAGTATGTATACTGGTATACTCAGGGAGGTATCCAGACACAAACCCAGAACCTTCCCACGTAGGTCAGCCTCGCAGAACAGCACCTTTTATCATCATCTGGCCCCTGTATTTGTCTGTCTTGAAGGGAGCTCCTTAGAAAGAAGGAAAGATGCCTTTTTTCAGTCTCTCATGTCTAGTGCATGCCTAGTACATAGTAACCATACAATTCAAATCTATTGAATAATTGAAAAATAATTTGGTGTGCTTGCATGGTACCAGGGTAGCAGGGTCTTTAAATTTTGCATTTTTGTTTAAGTATAGGGACTAGGTTACCAGCTCATCATATCTGTAAGTAAAAGATAACCACCAGTTTTAATGCCAGAATTATCTTTCTCAATTGCAAATTGGATGATATTGTTTCACTATTTAAAACCCTTCCTTGGGAACCAGCAGTTAGCGTAATGGCTATGTCGCTGGACTCCCACGTAGTCGACCGCGGTTCGTGTCCCGGACCCGGTGGCTTAAAACTCACGCCGGGCGCGTGTGCGTGCGTGCCCAAGATCCCGAGAGGAGAATGGAGGAGAAGGGATTGCGGCGTGAACATCCCCCCTGGGGGGTGATTTCTCGCTTTCTGTCTCTATGTCTCTCTCTGTCTGGCGAGCGCACGCGCCCTACAGTGAAAATCTCTCCAAAAAAAAAAAAAAAAAAACCCTTCCTTTATACTCTCATTGTCCATTCCTCAAGGTACATCTTAATCAGCCCTTCTTCCATAATAATCGTCCAATGAACACAGTTCACACTGGTCTCCTCCTCATCATTTACATGTAGTCTTTAATACTATGTACTATCTGATGTGTGGAAGAGTGAGGTGTATGTATCTGTTTCTGTTCTAGACCATACGTTTTAGGGCATTTACTGTATGTTTTAGACCTTTGTATCTACCTATAGTGTGTGCATTGTTGTGGAACACACCCCACGGAAGTCTTTTTAATTGAGGTGGAGCAAGAACAAAAATCAGATATTTTATGAGTGTGAGTGACATGGATTATGGGTCCTTGTGTGCACGCAGCCCAATGTGGAAGGCATGGAGGATGTGATCCCTGCTGGTAGATTGGGAGCCACCAGGAGCTCTCCAGACCCGGGGTGGTGCACGGACAGCTGGTTGTTTCTCTCTATCTCTGAAAGGTTGAGTCGAATTAAGGCTTATCTCTGTCAGAACACTGGAATTCTCTACCTTTAGCCGCTGTTCCTCCTGACTGCGAGGAGCAAGCAGAATGATGAAGAAGGAAAGGAGTTACACTTGGCTGGAGTGCATGTGCCCTAAAGCAAAAATCTCTCTTAAAAAACCTTTTTTTTAAAAAAACAATGTAATGCACTGTAAAGTGATATGTAATCCAATGTAATATAAAGAAGATTATAATGATAATAAAACTAACTAACTAACTAACTAACTAAATAAATAACTGCACCACATCTCAAAAAAAAAAAAAAAATTGAAAACTGTGTGGGATAGAGAAGTCTTTTGTGTCTCATTTCTTGAAGTTGTCAACCATTGCAACAAGCTAGAACCCACCTTAGGAGAAAGTGTCGTCTCCATCAATAGCTACTCTTCCTACGTGTGCTATTATTTAAGGCTTCACTTTAAAACTGATCCTGTCCTCTGCCAGTGGAGGCTGTGTGCCCTTAGAGCCTTCACATCTTGGGGGGAAAAAGGAATGTTTTTAAATGGGCTTCCCTGAAAGAAATCAAGTTTCTGAGGCAGTTACTTCCTGTGGGTCAGTATCATAGCAAAAAGTGTTCTTGTTTCTTCCTCATGGGATGGTGGGGGGATCTTCACGAACATTCTTTCCAGCTCTTCCCGATTGACGCATACAGTGCTGTAACCCTCTGATTGTGCCGGCTGGACAGAGAAAGGCTTGCATGCCTCTTAAGTTTGGCACTAAGCATTTCATTACTGGGGAAGTCATAATTGTCTCTAGAAATCCTGTGTCCTTACTACCAGAAATTTAAGGAAGATAGCTGCTATTTCAGCTCAGTTTATTCTGTGAACAAAATTTTAAATAACTGATAGCATCGTGTTTTACCTAGCTGCAGAGCCACTTCCATAACCAGCTGTTCTCAAATTACTATACTGAAATGTTAGCACTGTCTATGCTGTTCATCGTATGCAAAAGAACCGGTTATTTCTAGGAATGCCCTAATGTCAGATGACTTAGGTACCATGTAATCTTACCAGGACAGATAGTTGTAAGCATAACTGTCAATAAAAATGTATATACTTATAGGAATTGATATTCCAACAGCATTTGATGACTCAATTTTTCCTGTATCTTATCTCTTTCTTAAGGTGGATAGATGCCACTTTATAATTGTAGCTTTTGACAGGTTAACACATATTTATCTTTTCATCTCATTTTTTCAGCTCTGTTTTTTATCTAGGAACTTAGATCTGCAGGGTTTTCATTTTCCTGGAGTAGTTCGTACAGTGACAAAGATGTGAAAAAACACACATGGCTCTTTTTCATTTTTTTCTGGAGAAGTTTTTTTTTTTTTTTCTCCAGAGCGCGTAAGCTCGCCAGAAAGACAGAGAGAGACAGAGAGACAGAAAGTGAGAAATCACCCCCTGGGTGGATGCCCACACTGCAATCCCTTCTCCTCCATTCTCCTCTCGGGATATTGGGCACGCACGCACACACGCCTGGCATGAGTTTAAGCCACCAGGTCTGGAACTTGAACCGCGGTCGGCTCCTTGGGAGTCCAGCAACTGCTGGTCCCCCTGCACAGAATCATTTGTATAGTGCATTTGATTATGCCGTTCATTAAGTTCTAAGTTTAGGATCTCTGGTATGTAGTCCTGGTGCTATTCTTATGTAATAGTAAATATGGTTATGCCTATTGTCATATATAGATCTGTTCAAAAGCAGTTTTTATATTGATAAAAATGGTTATCCTGGTTTTCTCATTTTTGATTCTGGTTTTGTTTTTAGAGCGTCCTCTTCACTACACAGAAAATGTGCTGGAGCAGGTGCTTCGGTGGAGTTCATTAGCTGAGCCTGGCTCTGCCTACCTTGTGGTGAAGAGATTCTTGACCATTGACACGATTAAACACTACAGAGGTAGGTGCTCTTACTTCAGAGTGCAACCATGATGAAAATTAAAGTGGCGAGCAGGTTATGATGGCAAGGTGGTGTCTGAAAATGTGAAAAATGAGTAGCTGTACAGAATCTCCTGACGTAGCGAAGAAAGAATACATGAACAGGAGGAAGCTTTCCTAGTGGGCAGTGAGTACAGTATTTGTGGACTCATTTGACGCTACCCTGTTAAAATTTTGAGAAGAAATGGTTTCTATTTCCAAGGGTTGTTCACCTTGCTTATGCCTATATGATTTTCTAATATTTACATTGATGGTCAATATGCTAGCAACTATTTGGGGTCTCATTACACCAAAGCTACTGTGCTTCCATGTCTCTCTCTCTTTTCTTTCTTTTTTTTTGAGAGGTTTTTGCTATAGGGCACGTGCACTCACCAGAAAGACAGAGAGAGACAGAGAGAAAGTGAGAAATCACCCCCTGTAGTGGGGATGGCCATGCCACAATCCCTTCTCCTCCATTTTCTTCTCAGGATCTTGGGCATGCATGCACACACGCCTGGCATGAGTTTAAGCCACCGAGTCTGGGACTCAAACCATGGTTGACTGCATGGGAGTCCAGTGACATAGCCATTACACCAACTGCTGGTCCCTCCCATGTCTCTTGTTGACATCTGCCAGGTACTGCTTTCAAGGTATAATGCGATGATGTTGGTTCTACACTGATGGGATTTTAGTGTTTTATACACCTCCATATACTTTTTTTTTTTTTTTTTGGAGAGATTTTCACTATAGGGCGTGTGCGCTCGCCAGACAGACAGAGACATAGAGACAGAAAGCGAGAAATCACCCCCCAGGGGGGATGGTCACGCCACAATCCCTTCTCCTCCATTCTTCTCTCGGGATCCTGGGCACGCACGCACATGTGCCCGGCGTGAGTTTTAAGCCACCGGATCCAGGACGCGAACTATGGTCGACTACATGGGAGTCCAGCGACATAGCCATTACCCTAACTGCTGGTTCCCAAACACCTCCATACACTTTTTGTTTAGAAATATAATGTGCTGGTGTTTTGAGTCTAAATCAATAAAGAAAGCTATTTCCTATAAAACAAAACAAAACAAAACAAAAGAAAAAAAGAAGATTTACTAATCAGCTATATTTTGGATTTATGTCGTCTTCTTACGTAAAAGGCTTACCACAGAATGCAAGCAGTGTAGTAGCTTTTGTGTCATTTTGTCCTTAAGAGCATCCGTATGAATAAACCAGGTTAGTTTGTTCGTTTGCTATGGATACTTATCATTTCAGAGACCTTTTGTCTTATTTTAAATTGCTTCACTATTAATACATATAGTTTTGACCTGTATATACACTCTATACCTTTCTTAAAAATTGACAATAGATGGGTCCCAGCAGATGGCATGGTAATTATGTCTCTAGACTCCCACGTGGCTGACCGCAGTTTGAGTCCAGGGCCTGGTGGTTGATAATCATGCCAGGTGCTTGTGTGTGCATGTCTAAGATCCTAGAAGGAGCATAGAGGAGAAGCTATCTCCCCTGGGGTGGGATTTCTCACTTTACTTCTCACTCTTTCTGTCCCTCTCTCTTTAGCGAGCACACGTACCCTATGGCAAAACCTCTTTACAAAAAGATTGCAGTAAAAATTATTTCTGGTCATATTAATGCAGCATGTACTCATGCCATAAAGAAATGGTTCTTAACTAGGAAAGATTCTGCCCTCCAAGGGCAGACGCCAGTGTCTGGAGACATGTCAGACAGGTGTAACTCAGGAGTAGGACAGAAGAGAAGTGGGGCTTCTGGTAGACACTGGGCAGATACCAGAGGTGTTGCTAAACAGCCTTTAGTAAGCAGAACAACTCTTCAGAACAAAGAATTGTCTGGCTAAAAATGTCAGTGGTGGTGTTGGGAAATCTTGAATTGTATTTCTAGGGAATCTGTTTTAGCTCTCAAATTCTATTATTCTCTTATTATCTCTTTGGGAAGAATTTTCTTTTTCTAATAATCCTCTAAAATGTCACAATTTCTTCTAATAATCCTCTAAAATGTCACACTTTGTTGACATATGCTCCATGTTGCAAAGTGTTTGAAACCCACACCTGAACATATTACCTCGGCTGGTGTTTCAATGCTAATAGGCTGGCTGTGTGAATATACTTGGCTGAGAATTAGATCTTAGAAAGCAATGGTAACAGAAGCTTTTGTGTGGGCGTGAGTGGGGAGTCACCCAAAGCAAACACAGCATTAAATGCTGTTGATCTTTGAAAACAAAACAGCAAACAATGTCAGCAGGGCAGAGATGGAGCTGATGTGTATAGAACAGTTATATCTGAGTAAGATCTTTGTTGTTGGAGGGCAGGAAGAAGTGTAGTGAGATAGACTGTGCATCGATTCTAGACACTAACAAGGTAGGAAGATTGGGTGTTATAATGAAGCTTCACATATTACATTGCCTCTTGATGGGGATACAAGGGAGTCCTTTTCTTGTAAAAGCATCAAGACGCTTTAAGGCCTAGATAAAACATCTTATATAAAATCAGAAAACCCAAACAGAGGAAGGAAAGCTGTAGGCCTAAATGATATTTTCAGAGATTTAGAACAAACATTCTCTAGAATCAAATGTCAGCAAACGTCTGTGTTACTCTCGCTCCTTCGTTGTTCCTTTAGTTTTCTAACAGGGTGGGATCTGTAAGACATACCTTTGTTCATGAACTGTCTCTGTTTCATTTTGCCACATCAGTATGCATCTAGTTATTGTACTATCTGTAATTCTTTCTACCAGGAAACTAGGTCTCTTTGCATGAAACAAAAAATCAAGTTTTAAAGTAAAACCATAGAAAAATAGATGGATGTTTTCATATTAATAGTTATGTATTTTTTTATTAAAAAAGAGTACCTACTAAATAAATATTAGATGCTTAAAACATATAACTTATGTTACTAAGCAGCCTACAGTGCACAGAACAGCTTTTTTTTTAGAGAGAGATTTTTGCTATAGGGTCTATGCACTTGCCAAAGAGACAGAATGTCAGAAATCACCCCCCAGGGCAATGACCACACTCCAATCCCTTCCCCTCCATTTTCCTCTTGCCATCTTAGGCATGCACGCACATAGACCCTGCGTGAGTTTTAAGCTGCTGGATCCAGGACTCAAACCACAGTTGACTATGTGGGAGTCCAGCGACGCAACCATTACGCCATCTACTGGTCCCCAAAACAATGTGTTATAACAGAGAATTGTCTGTCTTAAAGTGCATAAAGCTTTATGCTTACATAAATGTTTATATGCTTAAAACTCTCATTTGAAGCCTAGAAAATTTTTATAAGATTTTTTTAATCAATTTGATTTATACTCAAAATTTCAAAGCAAAGTAATTTCAATTTTTATACCTGCATTTAGGATTGTCCTTTTAAAGAGTCCCTGGTCTGTGGTTTTTTTTAAATTAGTTTCTTAAGCCATGATTTGTGTTATTGTTGTGTCTGACAGCAACCTGGAGCTTATCAATACTTCTTAAGGGGCATATGTGGTGACAGATTTGGAGAAGGCTAGATATTCCACCTACTTTGGTCTCTGTCTTGGCAAATATCTCCTACATAAGTCACAATGACTACCTGTGCTGAAATGACTGCTTTAAGTTAGCAGTTAAGCAGAACAACTCTTCAGAACAAAGAATTGTCTGGCTAAAAATGTCAGTGGTGGTGTTGGGAAATCTTGAATTGTATTTCTAGGGAATCTGTTTTAGCTCTCAAATTCTATTATTCTCTTATTATCTCTTTGGGAAGAATTTTCTTTTTCTAATAATCCTCTAAAATGTCACAATTTCTTCTAATAATCCTCTAAAATGTCACACTTTGTTGACATATGCTCCATGTTGCAAAGTGTTTGAAACCCACACCTGAACATATTACCTCGGCTGGTGTTTCAATGCTAATAGGCTGGCTGTGTGAATATACTTGGCTGAGAATTAGATCTTAGAAAGCAATGGTAACAGAAGCTTTTGTGTGGGCGTGAGTGGGGAGTCACCCAAAGCAAACACAGCATTAAATGCTGTTGATCTTTGAAAACAAAACAGCAAACAATGTCAGCAGGGCAGAGATGGAGCTGATGTGTATAGAACAGTTATATCTGAGTAAGATCTTTGTTGTTGGAGGGCAGGAAGAAGTGTAGTGAGATAGACTGTGCATCGATTCTAGACACTAACAAGGTAGGAAGATTGGGTGTTATAATGAAGCTTCACATATTACATTGCCTCTTGATGGGGATACAAGGGAGTCCTTTTCTTGTAAAAGCATCAAGACGCTTTAAGGCCTAGATAAAACATCTTATATAAAATCAGAAAACCCAAACAGAGGAAGGAAAGCTGTAGGCCTAAATGATATTTTCAGAGATTTAGAACAAACATTCTCTAGAATCAAATGTCAGCAAACGTCTGTGTTACTCTCGCTCCTTCGTTGTTCCTTTAGTTTTCTAACAGGGTGGGATCTGTAAGACATACCTTTGTTCATGAACTGTCTCTGTTTCATTTTGCCACATCAGTATGCATCTAGTTATTGTACTATCTGTAATTCTTTCTACCAGGAAACTAGGTCTCTTTGCATGAAACAAAAAATCAAGTTTTAAAGTAAAACCATAGAAAAATAGATGGATGTTTTCATATTAATAGTTATGTATTTTTTTATTAAAAAAGAGTACCTACTAAATAAATATTAGATGCTTAAAACATATAACTTATGTTACTAAGCAGCCTACAGTGCACAGAACAGCTTTTTTTTTAGAGAGAGATTTTTGCTATAGGGTCTATGCACTTGCCAAAGAGACAGAATGTCAGAAATCACCCCCCAGGGCAATGACCACACTCCAATCCCTTCCCCTCCATTTTCCTCTTGCCATCTTAGGCATGCACGCACATAGACCCTGCGTGAGTTTTAAGCTGCTGGATCCAGGACTCAAACCACAGTTGACTATGTGGGAGTCCAGCGACGCAACCATTACGCCATCTACTGGTCCCCAAAACAATGTGTTATAACAGAGAATTGTCTGTCTTAAAGTGCATAAAGCTTTATGCTTACATAAATGTTTATATGCTTAAAACTCTCATTTGAAGCCTAGAAAATTTTTATAAGATTTTTTTAATCAATTTGATTTATACTCAAAATTTCAAAGCAAAGTAATTTCAATTTTTATACCTGCATTTAGGATTGTCCTTTTAAAGAGTCCCTGGTCTGTGGTTTTTTTTAAATTAGTTTCTTAAGCCATGATTTGTGTTATTGTTGTGTCTGACAGCAACCTGGAGCTTATCAATACTTCTTAAGGGGCATATGTGGTGACAGATTTGGAGAAGGCTAGATATTCCACCTACTTTGGTCTCTGTCTTGGCAAATATCTCCTACATAAGTCACAATGACTACCTGTGCTGAAATGACTGCTTTAAGTTAGCAGTTATGCTTTTCTTACCCTGACCTGTTTCATATTTACAGAGATTTCTCTAATCCCTCAGGAATTCCCAGATCCTTGAGTTGGAATTTCTGAAGGTGTTTCCCTTCTTTTATTTTTATTTGCATTATGTCAGTGCTCTTCAGAAACATAAGCAAGCCACATATGCAATTCTGCATTGCCTTGGAGCCTCATTTGAAAATATATATATATATATATTAAGAAACAAGTGAAATGATGTGACTAGTATTTTTATTTAACCTAAAATATCCCAAAATGCTATCATTTCATCATGTAATCAATATTTTACCATAGTGATAGTTTACTCTTTTATTTTCTTTGTATAAAGTCTTCAAAATCTGGTATGTATTCCATTCTTCTACTCCTCTAAATTTACACTAATTGTATTTTGTGTAGCTAATTGGACAGTCCAGGCAGGCTTTTGCATGATAATGTATGGTAGAAATCAAGTTGTTGATGCATTTTCAAAACGAAAAATATACTAGTGTTTTATACTGAATTCCTTCTATGTAAAACTATACCCAGCTTACAAATGTAACGCTGTACTTTGCAGAAAAGAGTGCGCTGGAAAGCATCAAAGAAGGAATCTTGAAAATCAAAGAAGAACCATCTAAAATACTGTCTGGAAATAAGTTTCAGGACCGGTACTTTGTTTTACGAGACGGGCATCTCTTTCTTTACAAGGATCTGAAGGTATTGATATGTTCAGTATTTGAATATTACATTTTTTGTTTGTGTGGGTATTAATATTCTTGTTTTATTTCACTCTAAGCCATCTCTCTTAGAAGTCACTACCTGTAGTAAATAAAAATCATCATAATAAGCTGATGAGTTCTATCGGGCTCTGGTGGGACATTGATGTACTCAGTAAGACAGTGAAAGACTTCCTACGGCCTTTCTGAACACTTGGGATTTTTTAGGGCCAAGGGTTACCTAAGCCCTGAAGAAAAGTCTAATATGTATGACATAAACTAGCGTATCAATCAGCTTCTAAGTCAGTAAAGTTAAGAAAGCATATGATATATGAACAATTTGAGTCACTCCTTCTCTGTTCGCTTAAACTTATTCTACCTCTCAGGAGTGTACTTTTGCTTCTACTTAATAAACTCTTTTCCTTAAAAAAGAAAAAAAAGAAAGAAAGAAAAGTATATGCTAAGGCAAAGGAGGTTTGAGTTTGGGTAGTAGAAATTAATACTAGTCACAATGAAAAGGCAAAAGCCAAAAGTTAGATCGTGTTAATATCTTTCTTACATGTTTGAACAAATTGGCTCATGTAATATCATATTTATTCATGGAATCTTACTGACGTATTCCCTGTAAGTTGGAATTCCCTAAAAGCTTTTAATAAAGGTTCATGGAACAGAGGGGAGAACCAGGGCTAAAAACAAGAGTAGATAAATGATGTAGCTATAAGAATATTGAACTTAGCATCAGAAAATCTCATCTCTGCTAAACACTCGTTCTGTGAATAAGTAACTTAACCTCTTAACCTCAATTTCTGAATCTGGAATGTGATGATAATAGTGTGAGCTCTATATGCCAGGTTGCTTAATGCTTAAATAAGGATATATGTAAGAGTTCTTTTTAGCCGTGAAACATTTTATAAATATGTGTAGTAGTAACACCATATTCATAAAAAGATACCATGAAGGACCATGTGTAGGCAACTCCCAGATTAAGAAACATGTAGTTATAATACCTATATCTGAAAAAGTACTCAGATCCATAATGTAAAGAACTCTTTTCTTTTCTCTAAGAGAGATTTTTGCTATAGGGTCTGTGTACTTGCCAGAGAGACAGAGACAGAAAGTGAGAAATTACCCCCTGGGAGGATGGCCACAATGCAGTCCCTTCTCCTTCATTCTACTCTTGGGTTTTTGAGTGCACACACACATACACACACACTCACACACACACACACACACACACACATACCCAGTGCGAGTTTTAAGCTGTCAGGTCTGGGACTTGAACCACCGTTGACTACATGGGAGTCTAGCAACGTAACCCCTACACAATTTGTTGGTTCCTAAAGAATTCTTCTTAATCAACAAGAAAGATGCCTCAGGCCCAGCCCTTGTAGCACTATCAGTAGCATACGGGACTGTGGAACTGTAAGCCGCGTGGTCTGAAACATCCTGGGTGTTCATTCATATTGCCCAGGATCTTGGTGGGCTAGAGGACTGGAGGAAAGTGGATTTCAATGTGACAGACCCTGTGCAGGTCACTCCCCGTTCTCTCTTCCTCCCATTCTCCCTTTTTTTCCCCCCTTCTTATCTCTCTCTCATGAACATACATGCTCTATCATGAGGAGATAAAAGAAAGGTAACTCAATAAAAAAATTGCACAAAGGATTGAGTAAACACTACTGAAGGAAGATATAAAATTGGGCACGAAACTATTGAATCAAGAATGCTCAACATTGTTAAATTAAAATGAAAACCATGAGTTATTATTGTGCACCGGTCAGTATGACTGACATCATAGTAATAAACACCCAGTGTTGATGAGGAGATAGATTCACTAGACCTCTCATGGTGGGACGGGAAAATCTCATCATTACTCTGTAGAACTGTTTAGAAGTTTTTAAGTGAAGTTGTTCATATATCTATCTCATGAGCCAGCACTGCCACCCCCAAGGTTTTAAGCTCACCAATGCTCTTGTACAAAAATGCGCATAAGCAGCTTTTTTTTTTTCCCATAAAGGCAAAACCTGGAAGTGTTTCAAATGTCCATCAATGGGAGACGGAGGTGTTAGTCCAGTGGAATGCTTCTCAACAGTGAGAGTGGGTGAATACTAACACAAGTGACAGAACTAATGCACCCTCAACACCTCACTGGGTGGAAGAAAATTGACACAAGGTCTTACCTTGTGAGTCTGTCCATGAGAAGTCTAAGAACAGGCAAAATGTTTTCTGTTGTAATGAAAAAGCAAAACCCAAAAGTTAAGTCTAGTTAGTTGATAACTTTCTTTTTACATTTGAAGGCATTGGCTCAGGTAATATCATATTTATAAATGGAGTTGTATCAACGTATAAGCTACAAGTTTGAAGTCCCTGAATGCTTTTATTAAAGAATTGTGAAACAGAGAGGAGAAGTAGGGATAAAGGGATAAAAATCAAAGAGGAGGTAAGTGAAATAGTGATAGAAGCCAGAAAGTGTCTGCCTTGGTTGGGGAGAAAGGTCACTGTGGAAATGCCAGGGGAAGGATTAGTAGGGTCCTTTCTGACTAGAAACGTTCTCCATCCTGTTTGCAGTTATGTTCACATGGGTGTATGGGTGTCTTCAGCAGCATCTCTACTTCGAGATTGAAGTCGTTCTTGGTCATTATTTTCAATGTAGAATGGCAGTTTGAAGGACCTAGAGGACACTTTTTTTATATTGAATTATAAAATTCATTTGAGTAAACATTGCTTGCATGCTTTAAGTGAAGAGCACTTTGCTGTGTTCTCTTGAGCTGTACAAAGACCAGACTGTAGCATCCGTTAATATGCATATGTTAGGAAAGACTTGTTAAGCAGCTTGTTATTCTGTGACCACGTTTTGTTTCGTGTTTTTCTTTTTCTCTGTCTTCCCTTTGAGCTCCCAATATGCTTCAGCCACTTTCTTTGTGTGTTCCTCCAACAGGGAAGTCCCCCATGTGGCACACGTAAATCTTAGGGGTTATGTGAACAAAACATGTCAATTTGAAGGCTCATGAGCTTGAAGTTTGTATTTGTGAAAGTAGAGGTTAGGCTTCACAGCTGATTATTCTAGTCACCTAGAACTAAATCTGCTTGGATCTTGTTTGTTCGTTGTGACCTTCACTAGACTGGTTTCCTTAACCCTTGTCCTTCCATATACATAATAAGTTGATTAAGGATTACTATTGCAGTTGGATATCTGCTTGAGATATTTAGAAACCACTCTGAACTTCCTAGTCCCAAAAGAACTAATAGATTCCACTGTAGCCAGATTGGTGCTGGAAACAACTAGCAGCCAGTAGCAGTCATAATGATGATGCAATCATGATAGCACAGCTGATGTTCAAGTGGCGACTGTGAAAAACAGAATTCTATAGTTTTCTCTTCCATTACCTCATTTTATGTTTACAGCAACCCCATGAAATTATACTACTGTGGTTTCTACTTTGCACACGAAGACAGGGCTACACAGACATTATATAATTTGCCTGAGATCACACACCCAGTAAGAGATTCAGTGAGAATTTATTCCCAGGCATCTAGTTCCAAAGGCTCTGCAGGAAATCCTACAGAAACTCAATCAGTTCACATTATTTGAGCTTAAATGTTTTGGCTGACAAAATTTTACTTATAGAAAACAAATCCATTGAAATAGTACCAGATATATTCTACTAAAGAAATGCCTGTAACTCTGTTGATGTTTTTGTCTCTCAAGCTGATGTGAACTTTAATGTCTACCACAGGAAAGCCTGTTCAATGCAGAAGGGACTCTTACAAATGGATTATTTTTGAAAGTGAGATGGTGGCAGGGTAGAGGGGTTGACTCTAGTGGTTAAGGCAGCCAAATCCCACTTGGCCACCAACCATATGGTTCAAGTCCTGGACACAGTGGCTTGAGAAACAATGGGAGCATGTGTGTGCATGCCCAGAATTCCAAAAGGTGTACAAAATGAAGGAGAAGGGATTACTACAAGGCCATCCCATTGTGGGGGGGGGGGGGGTGCTTTCTTCTCTCTCTCTCTCTCTCTCTCTCTCTCTCTCTCTGTCTCTCTGGCAAGCCCAAACACCCAATAGCAAAAACAAAACAAAACAAAACAAAACAAAATGCAAAGTGAGATGAGGAATCTCCTATCACTTAACAGAGTAAGTTTTGCTTTAAAATGTGCATCTTTTTTAAAGGATCATCTTGTTCAACTTAAGATAATTATTATAAATTATTATAAATTAATAGGCAGTTGTAATCTTGAGGGCTTGTCTAAAGCCAGTGTTCTTTAAGGACACTGAATATGATTTTTTAAATAATGGTGATCTCAGTTATAGAATTATTATTAAGATAATAAATTATTATTAAGAATTTGAGAGTTATATTCACATATCTATCAGATTAAATAAATGCAACAGATAATTTGCACATTAAAGGAAACAGAGGAGATGTATCGCTTATCTTCAACTCCAACTGCTGTGATTTTTAATGCAAGATTTTATTTTCCTGTTCTTTTTATTCTTTGTTTTTCTAACGTTACTGAACAATCCCTTTTTGTGTTGATGATGAAATCACTGGCAATGTTAACTTTTGAAGTGATTTTTCAGTAAATACTTGAGTAATATCTCCCCAACTTATTTGAGTAACAATTTAGCTTGAGTTTTGGCAATTGCCATTAATATATTTATGCTTGTATATATTTAGAAAATGATTTGCTGAGAAGAGAGTAGAAATTACAAATTGAGAAGTGTATTTAAAGAGACTTTGTGTTAATTAGAGATAATTTATGAATGCTCATTAACAACAAATTAGGGTAATACACAGGGGAAGATATATTTTGTTTTGCAAGTTTTCCCTGCACAGAAAATGTTAATTAAAATGTTTTCAGACTTGATTTACATAAAAGGTGAGAGGTTTCAAAGAATATTACCATTACACACTTAATGGTGTGAAAAAAAGCAAATGGGTAAGGGAGGCCGTTAAAAGTTGCACGCACTAATAAGCTAACTCCTTTTAGCTACAAGGAT